GTAACCGATAATATTCAGAGAGTTAAACGACTTGGCACAAGCTGATTGGTTCATTCTACATATGCAGCCAATGAGGTTACTGCCTTGCATTTATATGGCTGGCTAGCGTTCACTAGAGATTCCTGCAGCGCGCTTTCAGAGTTCTCTGAAACCCTCCACCTTCCCCAGCTCCACCTGTATAGATCTGCTATGGGGTTATTTTATATGCTATTTGTGCAGCAGCAGTATGTCTTAAATACTCACAGCACCGTATCGCCGTATGCATTGCAGTAGCAAGCTCCTGTACTTGCTTGCAGCAGCAGCAATAATCTACAACTACAGCAATAACCAAGAGCAGCAGCGTAGCAAATCTATTCCGCCAAGACCAAATACATTAACATTGTCATATCCATCACCATGCTAATATCTTCTGAGAGTTGTCATGATTGAAATGCATTTTCATAGCTTTTAAAAAAAGTTAGTTTTTTGTGGAAAAACAGTCAACAGTTCAGAGATAATTTTCACTGTCTGTCACACATGTAAACATCCACTGCTTCATCACACCGTATCCTCGTCCTCCTGCACAGTGCTGTAACAGATCTACACGTACATCACTGCACAACACCCTAACCCAAGCTCAGTCCTGCAGAGTTCAGCTCTGATCACACACACCAGCCTGTAGCTCAGTGATCCTGAAGACTAGATGAGCCGCTTCAGGCTGAACTCTGCAGGACCTACATACACAATACACACACTATCAAAACTGCTCCATGTGTTATGGGTGAACAGTTTCTCACGAGGAGAGATAAGCAGATGTTTGTGTGTTGTTGTAATAGTAAATGACACAGCACATGAGAACAGCTCCAGTCTCATCAGATGAGGTGTGTTACAGATGAACATACGGACACTGTCAGGAACTATTTATCTAGCAGAAGGATGGCGTTCAATGATTTTACTTCAGAAAGTAATATATTTGTGCTTTAATACTGTGCCCTTCAGCCATGATTATATTCACAATATAGCACAGCCTTACTGCTTAAAATGTCTTTATGTTGATTTTATTTAGAGATTCACTGGAAAATTACATTTATTAATTACAGATTTTAATGTTAGGTGCAATTAATCACAATTCCAGAATTCCGTGTAATCAGTAGGGCTGTAAAATCGATTAATTGTGATTAATCACTTCCAAAATAAACGTTTGTGTTTACGTAATATATATGTGTGTGTGTGCTGTGTATATTCATATGTATATATAAATACACACACATACATGTATATGTTTAAGAAATATATGCAATATAAATGATGAAGACGCTGACATTCACCTGATGTTGATATTGTCTGCTGGATTCATATGGATTAAGATGTCATTCAGTTCTTCTTGAAGCTTCAGAAGAGTTGCAGTGTTATTCAGGTGTGGTTGAATAACCTTTGACATGACGTGACTCTGCACACCGAATACAGACGCAAACTGCTGCTGATTTTATTCTGTGTATGATTAAACCACAGAATAACATAGAGTGCCTGTGCTGCCGTTTTAATGAACTATTTTTACATAATGAACTGTTTTGAATGTCTACATGTAAACTCCTGAATTTAAAGTCCTGAAGTAGCACATGACCCTGGCGTTTGTTCGCAGAGCAAGTTTTGAGAGATTCCCCTGTGAAAGTGTAAATCAGCTCCTCTGAAACACTTCCAGTCTGACTAGGCCTCGAGTCAGTGTTGCTGTGTAATTCCTCCGTGTCCTTGTTTTTCAGATGAACCGCAACCTTCTGCTGCTCCTGCTCTCCTTCAGTTTCCATCAGGTACGCTTCATCTTTGCTGGTATGCTGATGTTGTTTTGGTCTTTGTCGCATTCGATTATTTGCATTTCAGGGTCACGTTTGACCAGTGCTGAGTGATGTAAATGATATGATATGATGATATGATATAACACTTTATTGTCAGACGAGTCTGACATTTTTCTTGCATGACAGTATCTGTAGTACTGTATAAATGTAATGTCTTGTAAATTAACAACTGAAGAAACCTAATCAGCTCAAAGAGTGACAGACATGCTTGACTTTCACTGATCTGGACTAGGGTTGTCATGATGCCAGTATTGACATGCCAATACCAGTGAGCTTTGTTCATTTTCAGTCATTTTAATACCACTATAAAAACTGAAATGCTGTTAAACACATTCCATCATTTCAAACCCCACTGATTCAAAATGCTTGTATGAATAAAGTGAAGATAAAATGAAGATGTCTTGTTGTTTGGACTGTGAGCTCCTCCGGGTTCAGGATCCGGGCGGCGCTTTCAAAGCAGCATCGTATGACCCAACATCCATTCATGATCTAAGCCTCACTAAAATACCATTGGTAACTGCTGCACCCACGAACCCTATTGAGTCTGTACTGCCGATAGCATAGGAAGACTGTATTATTGTTATCCTTTTCTGTCTTTTTGGTATTGAAACACTGGCACTATTGACAGCCCTAATGCAGTCAGTTATGCTACAGAATGTGTGGGGATCCTGGATCAGCTGAGACGATTGATGGTGTTAGTCTTGATTTTAAAGCATTCAGACACCTTCCTTCTGACTTTCCCATGTCGCGAGAGAAGCCTGGTCTCCTTCAAGTCCGTGATGCTGTGCATCAGTTAATCTTTACTGCAAGCCTCTCTTAACGTCATCATATTTCATTCTTTCAAAGCAGATAGGCCTATGTATAAATAGATTTCAGAGAAAAAAGCATATGCTTTTACTGAAGGAGAAACGGTCTAGAAACATGATCAAACTCTTGGAAATCAGAATCTCATCTTCACGTGTCTTCAGTAGTCATGATGTAGTTAGTTTGAAGACTGTGAAGCCTCACAGGATCATCCGTATCCCAGACTCCAGTTAAGCGCGACTCATGTCTCATTCTGATCCCACAGACCACTGCCATTCTCCATCTATAGCTTCACAAGCCAGCGCTAGTCTTGCTATGGATTCAGTGGGACATAAGGACCCGGCAGCATTCGACCCCAATGTGCTGAGCCAGTCAGACGACGACTTCATGTTCGAAACGAAAAAGAGTCCATTCCAGGCGTTTCCCCCCATGAGCGACGGCTTCGGCGAGACCACTGCTGCCAGGAGATCAGTGGAGGTGTCAGAGAGTCCGTCTCCAGACCTGGTGCAGGACGCGTATGATGAAGCTCATGCGCAGTCAGAGGAGCTCGAACAGGACACTGATGCTGACGCACCCGTCTCCCTTTCACATGCGCCGTCCCACCTTTTCTCAGAAATCAACACGACGTCTGATGACCGACCGACGTCTCTCCCAGATATTCTCAAGTCGTCTCCGCTGAACCCTGACAAACTGGACTCGGGCTCATCAGAAGAAAGCCCTGATTTCAGCCCGGTTCACAGAAGTATGGATGATTCCCCAAATTCCCCATTCCCTGTTAACAGTCCGATTGGATTTGACTCCAAGATCTTACTGCTGAAGGAGATGACCGAGGAGACGGAGGCCAGAGCTGTGGAGAAGGCCAAACTGGAAGCAGAGCAAAGTTTCGCCGCTTTCGATCTTGTAAAAGAGACAAACGTGCCTCCGAAGAGCGACGGCCTTCTGAAGGACAAAGAGGATGCTGAGGTGTTCAGCCAGACTGCAGTTCAGACGTCTGACAGATTTGAGTGTCTCAGCTTCCCCAGCGGAACGTCTCGAGAACCGTCTGATTCCGAGAGTCAATCTGCAGATTCCTTCTCCCCGGTGCTGGACGCAGTCACACAGGATCCATCGAGCTTCAGCGTGGAGCAGGAGCGGCGAGCCATCCAGGGGGCGATGGAAGCCGCTGAGGAGGTGTCCGAGCAGGAGGTCTCATCTGAAGAGTTCGAGTTTGTGGAGCGGCCACCGCGAGGAGCCTCTGAGGAGTTTCTGGAAATGCAGGACAGCCTGGCATTCATTAAACCGTCAGAAATGCTGCAGGATGAGGACAGATCTCCTAAACTCGAGCCTCAGGAGGCTGCAGATCACATGCCTGCAACCGAAGACGCAGAAAATCAAAGCTCTTACCATCTCCTCACCCAGGCGTCAGACAAACCTTCTCCTGCGAGAGGTAAAGCAGGCCTGGAATCTGATTTGCAGGAAATTTGCCCAGCTCCTGTAATCCATCCTCCAGTGGATAAGACCGGAGCCGAGGAGGAGGAAGCTGAAGTGGGCAGCATGTGTGATCTAAGCGCAGCAGCAGGTAAATTCAGCACAGACCGCCATCAGCGCCATTACAGCACATGCTCCTTCACAGGACCTTTTCATTTATCCATCCTTTTCTGTCCGTGTACCTTCATCATTTGTGTTTCGTCCTTTATTCCCTCATCGTTCATGCATCTTTCATGCATCTCACCTTTGCCACGGCATGATAGATGTTGCGTTATGGCTGCATTTGCATGATCACCTTTGCCTTTGATTTGTTCAGCGTCCCACCACTGTGGCCCAAGATAACAATATGATTTATGATTGACTACTTGACTACGTCATATTAGATTTAGGATAATTTTTCTCAGATATAAATGAATGTGAACATCAGTTATTTGATTAACAGTTTGTAGTGGTCAGATGAGAGTATTGAGGGTTCAGTCGAGGCTCTTTCAGCCGTGATGATGAAGCGTGCTGTAGGTCACAGAGCGTCATGCTGGATCACTGCTGGACTGTGCTTACAGAGCACGTTAATGCTCTTAATCAGACTGGACTTTATGCCTGGTCCTGCAGGTTTGTCAGGAGTAACGTGTGGTGATGGCATGCAGTAATGTTTGAACAGGAATGTCTGCGTTTATACCAAGTGTCCCGCATGAGTCCTGAAAAGTGAAGCCAAAGCGTCTCGATCGCCCCGCAGGTGACTGGCTGCAGTATAGGTCATAAACCCCACCCTCTCCATGTAATGTAATGGGACCTGAGACAAACTAAACAATCAAATTACACTTCAAATAATTTTTTCCAAATATATTTTCTGTCATTTTAGGTAGTTCTTAGCATGCTGATGTATGTTCAAGTGTTAATTTTAGGGCTGCAACAAATGATTATTTTGATTATCGACTAATCTAGCGATTATTCGAACGATTAATCGTCTAATCATCGATTATTCCGCGGATTAATAAGTAGACTTGGATCGATCATTCAGCTTTTGCAGTTAGTTAAAAATTTGAGCTATATATATTCTAACAAATTAATAAAGGTAAGCACTTCAGCTTTTAAAAGTCATATTATGTAATTACAATTATACAATTAATTTGTACAAATAAATATATTTGGCACGCAAAATGAGATGACAGAGAAACTCTCTCATTCACCATTTAATTAGCTATATGAAAAAGTAGCTGAATGACACATCATTCTGCCTAACATCTCCTTCTGTAAGTCATATGGGTTAGAAACAAAATAAAGGTAAGTGATAAGACGTATTTTTGGATAAACAATTTTATTCACAACATAATCTCTCTTAAAATACAGTATAGGGTTATGATAATCAAAACAGTCCTGAGCTAGATCAAGTTTTGATATCTGCAAACCAAACTATGACTTTAATGAAATAATATTTTTCCCCACTAATAAAAAGATTTTATCATTAGCTAGCTCCACACTGGAAGCAGAACTGCTTTCTGTAACAGAAAATCAGCTTGTAATTCTAACTAAAATCAACACTGGTTTTTTTTATGTTTAATACTGTAAAACTGCTTGATTTAAGGCTATTGCATAAAGTACTATATAAATAAACGTGAGGTGACTGAACTTCTGTAAGTCATATGGGTTAGAAACAAAATAAAGGTAAGTGATAAGACGTATTTTTGGATAAACAATTTTATTCACAACATAATCTCTCTTAAAATACAGTATAGGGTTATGATAATCAAAACAGTCCTGAGCTAGATCAAGTTTTGATATCTGCAAACCAAACTATGACTTTAATGAAATAATATTTTTCCCCACTAATAAAAAGATTTTATCATTAGCTAGCTCCACACTGGAAGCAGAACTGCTTTCTGTAACAGAAAATCAGCTTGTAATTCTAACTAAAATCAACACTGGTTTTTTTTATGTTTAATACTGTAAAACTGCTTGATTTAAGGCTATTGCATAAAGTACTATATAAATAAACGTGAGGTGACTGAACTTTACTGAAGTACTGAACTGCAGAGCTTGTGCAAACATCCACATCGCTGTAATCAGATGCTTTCTTACCTGCTGCTTTCTCACCGCTGTCAGTTTTTGTTGTTTATTTTGTTATTGAGAGGAAAGCGCGCAGCATATATTTACATATTCATCCAAAAGCCGCTCAACAGCTTCAGGTTCGGCTGCGTTTGCTCTGAAGCGCTGTGTCTTCTTCTCTTGAATTGCATCCGGGAGAGCTGAAGTACTGAATTACCGCATTACTGCAGGCTCTTACATTAGCTCATATGAGATCAAACGACTACTCGACAACAATATTTGTCTACAATTTTTTATTGTTGACGTTGTCGATAATGTTGACTAATCATTTCAGCCCTAGTTCATTTTTTTAATGTTTGCTTTTAATTAGTTATTTGATACTATAAAAACGGGGTGTGGTGTCATGATTGTGATCTTGAGATTGGGTCTGCGTGAGTTTGGGCGGGACTTTGATACTGCAGCTCCACCTCACGATCACTACTGCGCAGACTGACGTCCAAATTACGTAATTTTCACAAGATGACAGCAGCCATACTGAGAATGTTTTGGCTTCACTTTTCTATCGTGGAAGGAAGTGGAGATGCATCGTCCATCTTTTTCAGTGTGGAATTTAGGGGTGCAACGGATCATAGATGATCCCATGATCCACATGGACAGGCCCACAGGCCCCATGGTTCGGCACGCATGTGATTCGCGGATTAACTGTTACGTTTAGAGAGAGAGAGAGAGAGAGAGAGAGAGCGAGAGAGAGAGGCACAAATCAAACAGCACGAGAACACTGCATTGATTCCTCTTTCAAGTCTCTTTGCGCTTGAACAGATACATACAGACAAAGCTGTGTCAAAATACCCGTTTTGGCAAGTATTCTGGTAAACACAGTCGGTTATGTCTTAAGTGACTGTAAACAGCGGAGAGAGAAACCGGATGTGTGTAAGTATTGGTCTTAAAGAGACAGCAGCCAATAAATACCTGCTTCTGTCTGCTAATCAAACAACACCACAGCTTTAACAAAGATTCATCTGTATTAAACTTATGAGCAGCACTTTTGAGTCATTTTACAATCAATTATTACATTTCTGCACCTGAATACTACTGTTACTGACTTTATTTGTAACTTTGTTGTATTCATCGATGCTTGTAATTTGTGTAATTGTTCTTGTTTTATTACTGACTTTATAATTTAAGCTAGTAGTTTTTGCTGTTGTATAGTACTTAAAGTAAGCTTTCAGTTATAAATGAAAAGCTAACTTGTTTTTTGCTGATCCGAAAAATGTTTCGATCTGTGACTCAATATCGGTAATATGATCTGAACCGTGAGTTTTGTGATCCGTGGCAGCACTAGTGGAGTTAGATTTATAAGTGCAGTATGTGTAGGTGGTGATCGAGGAGCTGTGTGTTTCACTTTCAGTCAGCTGAGGGCTGCATTTATCTACAACTCCCTCCTCCTCCTCCAGCTCCACCCGCCGCTATAAGCACTAGCCTTCCCCTCGGCTCTGATAGCCTGCAGTCGCCAGTCACATTTACACGGCAGACATGGACGAGACGCTTGACCGGCCCTCGGCGCACTGGAAACACAAGGGTAGAGCCAGACTCTCTTATCATGCACTAGCTCTCGCTGCAGCGCTGTGATGCTTGAATGTTGTTCCTTCTAGCTGTGCTGTTGATGTTTACAGACATGTGGTTTTGGACTGACGCTCTGCTGTCGATAACAGATGAATGCAGATCTTTAGCTGAACATGCTGCTGTGACAGAGGTGACCTTTGCTCCTGGAGAGTGTCAGTATCACACAGATAATCTGGCCAAAGGTTCTGGGTGCGGTGGGTCAAGAGTAGTGGTTGTTTAATGATTTGCTGCTATGTCTTGCAAAATGAGGTGGCCTAGAAGCAGAAGCATTGCTCGCTGTGCGTATGTTGGCTCTGTTCACCTGGTTTAAACGGATCTGGAGTCCTTCACGCGGGACTCCGGTCAGACGCAGATCCTCACGCTGCCACACTGAGCTCATTGTGTGAAGGGTCAGGTGCACATGCGTGATGGTGGCGTGTCCTGCGCAGGCCTGAGGCCAGAGATTCACTCCGTCAAATGCTTCTTCAAACAGGACCATGAAGCAGCCCTTTTAATGATGATGCTATCAAACCTTACTGTATTCAGATACCGTGTTATTTATGTTCACAGAGGCATTGTAGTGTCCAGAAACCACTTACTGCCTGAAACATGGTAATATCATGGTGTTACACTGTTTGAAGGAAATCCCATATTATTTGATGGCATAGTAGTTGGTATTTTGGTAGAAATTATGGCTACCATAGTAGACTCCTCAAGGAAGTTTCAGTCTACTGTTTTGACAAAATTACACAAATAAACTGAAATGTCCCCAAAGATCAGATTAAATATTGTTGCTGTGTGTGTGTGTTTCTATGTGTGTGTGTGTGTGTGTGTGTGTGTGTGTGTGTGTGTAAATGTGGTCAAGCAATCCCGCTTATTCTTAAAGGGGTGGTTGATCAGCTTTTTTCAAAGGCTTGATTGTGTTTATGGGGTGCAGTGTAAAATGTTCATGCTTCGTTTAAAAAACAACATTATTTTCACATATTTTACCTTTATTCACTACACCATTCGGTCTGTTGAGTTCCTGGTTCTCTGAAGCCCCTCCCTCAGAAATACGCACTGGGCTTTGATTGGTTAGTTGGTTTGTGATCCACTAACCACTGAGTGCATGTTGTCAGGAAACGTCACACCCCCTTACCGTTACGGGTAGCTGCATGTTCCCGGGGGCGGGGTTTATGCAAACATCAGGGTTAGTGATGTCACAAACCCGGGAAGAAGCTTGTTGTAGTCCCTACCAGTCTTTTTTGTAGTCCTTAAACAGTGATTTCTTTAAAAGAAAGTATCTCCCTTTGCACTGAACTCTGAGTGTCGTAACTTTGCAGACGTTGTTTATGCTCTAACAGCAACATTACACACTAATTAAAGTTAAAAAAGTGAAATCATAATCAACCACCCCTTTAAATTTGTAAAGTCATCAGGAATGTAGTTTTTGCTTTGTCATGAATGGAGTATAAATTGAGGTGAGAAAAAAACAATTGAATGCATTTTGGCATAAGGCTAAAGCATAGAATGTGAAAAAAACTGAAGAGGTGGACTGTAAATGACAGGTTTTGGGTGAATTTTCCCGTTATTTATATAAAAGGATGTGCCACAGATCTGTGTGATGGGAGATGTGCTGCTAAACTCTGTCTGTGTTTTAGAAGAGGACTGTCAGTCAGTCGTGAGGTGTTTGTGAGTGTAATAGTAGACCAAGGTGCCATCAGATGTGTGCTTCTCTTCCATGAGTGGACGTGTTGTGTGAGAGTACACACGTTTATCATGGACAGGCATCAGTCACGTCATGCGATAGTTGATTTATGAGCAGGAGTTTATTCTGTGAATGTCAGTGAGTCAGAAGTGAGTGTGATCTGAAAGTGGAATGAAGCAAACACGATCCTTGTGCATGTTCAGCAGCCGCACACGTACCATCACATTATTATTCTCATTCTCTGCTTCATGTTCATCCCGTCCCTCAATCCCTGGCGTCAGACGGCAGTCCCGTGAGGCTGACGTGTGTGTGTGTTTCAGTGCTGGAGCTGCTGTACTGGCGGGACGTGAGGTCCAGCGGGCTGCTGTTCGGCTGCAGCCTCTTCCTCCTGCTCTCCCTCCTCAGCTGCAGCATCATCAGTGTGCTGTCCTACTCCACACTGGCTCTGCTGTCCGTCACCGTCTCCTTCAGGACATACAGGGGAGTCCTGCAGGCCGTCCAGAAATCTGATGAGGGACATCCATTCAAGTGAGTCCAGATCAGAAACACTGTGTGTGTGTGTGTGTGTGTGTGTGAGTGAGAGAGTGTGTGTGT